TTTTTTTTGAAATTTGACATTTTTTTATGTCTATTTAATGATACTAATGATCTTGTATATGTTTTTTTATAATTATTTACTAAGCGTACATAAATGTTGTCAATAAAAGCCACAAATAACATTAAACAGAGATACAATTTAGGATACAGCTTCCTTGTTTCCTCTTCTAATAGATTGTAGAAAATCTATTGATTGTAAAAGATTGTAAAAAAAATATTTTTCCCACAGGAATAAATAGTCAAAGTGCAAAATTTAAACTCGAAATTTTTATGGATAGACTTTTTCCATGATCCTGGTATCTTACCTTACATATTTTTATAAGGGGACGAGTTCTGGCGCACCTGTATGTATTATTCGTAAAGGTTTTTTATATTTTGTATAGGTGAATTTAAACCTCTTTTGTATTATTTTTTATTCGTTACGTAATATCTTTTGTGTGAAATCACCATTAGAATAAAATGATGACCTCGTGTTAAAATTATGTAAAAATTACATTTATGGTATTTCCTAAATTTAAGTTTTATAGCACCACACATTAAAGTATAACGAAATGTGGAGGCTTGAAGGTTTGTTAATTAACAGACAAGAATAAAATATAAATTAGCTAATTATACCATTTTGCACAAACCCGTCATTTCAAATTTAGCCGACTTTAGCTAACTGATTTTAATTAATCTTTCATCACATTTCTAGTCATTAAAAAATTTTAAGTTTTAATTCACGTCATGTGACTCCATTCTAGAGGTGAACCGGCGTGATTGATCCATGATGTGAGTCAAAAAGTGCAAGGAAAACAACCCACAACTCGAAACTGGTAAAAAAATTTCAGTAGTTATTGCATTTGCAAGTCTACTTCCTGTATTTATAAACCTTGGTCGAAAATTATGAATTATCAGAAACGCGAATTTTTCCTATTGTTAAAAAAATGACTCAATCATTGAATCCGTTGTTTTATTTTCCTTTTCTCTTCCGATTACCATCTAAACGTGCTCGTTTACTACATTTCATTTCCGTTTAATATTTCCATTGAGCATAACGCAGATTATATCTCGATTTATCTTGATTCGTATTTTCGCGTCGATTTATACAACGCTGTGTTAACCTTGTTTTTTTTTATCGCAACCATAAACCATTTACAAAATTGTCTTCTACCCTTGAAGCAACAGCGAGTAATGCAATTAAACGAGGGCGACGAAACCCTCTTAAAATATTTCGTAATTCTAGCCTAGCAGATAAACAATCTGGCGTTGTTGTAAGAAGTTGATTAAATTTTAGCCCACTCGCGTCACCCACCTGTTATTGCCTGCGATGAAAAATTATTGAATAATCGGTTCGCCGCGAGCGAAATTCGGTCACGATGAATTTCGGTAAAGTTGCAGCATGCAACGAGCAAAGAATGGTGTTACTGGATATTTGGGTTAAGTCGACGGTTTCTCGTTCAGTTGCATTATTTTTAACTTTGAGAAAATAAAGAGAGACGGTTTTCACGTGGGAGAAAATTATTATTTATGAGGGATTGTCTCGACATGTGGAAGTTTTCTCGACGCGGAAAAAAATTGGCAATCAACTGAGTGAACGAGAACTGGGATCAATCTATCTCAAACAAAATGAAAAAACAAAAGTATAACTAATTTGTGCAGTTGGAAGCTTGATTTGTGAACGACTTGGAGCAGATAGTTATTTATTGGAAAACGAAGTTTAGAGATATGGATTGGTTCGATTCCAAGTTTTTGGGTCAAAAGTCAAGAACTTGAAAGTTTTACATGAAACAAATTTAGAAATTTTGCTTCTGTAATAAATGAGATTTAAAAAGCGTTTTGTGTTTAGATGAATTTAGCTTTTATAATAAGAAGATTACAACGAGAAAACAAGAGCGGATGATCCAAACATCTGTTCATCTATTATACATAAACATGCAAAGCTTTTTCCCCAGTTTACGTCAGCTTCAAGCCACCAAAAAGATCTCAACTATCGAATTTCAAAATAGCCGAGTCACGGAAGCGTGCACAAACCTAAAACTTTATATTTCCCATTATGCCCGGAGTCTTTTCATCTTTTAACGATTTTTCTCATTCGGTTATACAAACAAAGCTGCTCCCGTATATTCGTCTCGAAAAACTCGTTTTAATACGAAAATAACTGAAAAGTTCCACCCTCTTGTTGGTGTTTTTGTCGCCTATTTTTGATCGTTTTCGCACGTGTGCTTTATTTATGTTTGTGGTTCGTTGCAGGAATCGGTTTGCCAACGGGCGTCACGATGCGGGAGAAGAAAAGCGGAGCCTTGTCACGGATGCAAAAGCTGAAGAAAAGACTGTCACACTCGTTCGGACGACTATGTAAGTATTAATTGAGAATGGAGAATGATTGATGAATCGAGCTTTCGAATGAAAAGCTCGTTTTATCGCAGCGAGACGAAACCAATTTTGTGAGTCCGATCATTTTTCAACTTACAATCAGATCTAGAAAAAGTGAAACTGAAATGTTGCGAATGTTTACAGCAAGAAGATTAAGATTATGCAGTCGTCGTTGAAACTCAAATGGCAGGAAATGCACGACGCGTTTATTTCCTACGATATTCATTTCAATTATAAATTATTTCTCGGGAAAGATTTCACGCTTAATGAAATGAGTAATGGATAAGTCATTTTAAGTGTCATTTACGACTAATTATGTTGTCGGAAGGTGACGCAAAGGTCAATTTTTCCTAATGTTGAAGCTCCAAATACGTAAAGCCTTTCATCATAATGAATATTTTTCTGGGAAAAATAAATGAATTTATCTATTCATATGCGTAGTCGATACGAAATAATGCCTTTTTCTATTATTAGTCAACGTCTAATACACTCATTTTGTTTATTAGGTCGATTTGTTTTATCTGTCGTTCTCATTATCTAATAGTTATGGAATTCGGTTTGTATTTTGTTGCCTTTGTGATTTTTATTACCTTATCAGTAGCGAGATAAAAGTTATTTTTTTCCATACAAGGTGCAAAACAAATTGTTTGGTATTTAAACCGGTAAAAGTATTGGTAAATAGATATTTTCTAATCGAAATATTGTCTGTTATTGTCTTTCTTTGTTTATTTAATGGAATTAGGTATCAATGTCTCCTTGTTTAGCACTGAATCGCTATGATTATAGTAGTTTTTTAATTTATCATAGAACTAAATATAAATGGGTAGTAATAAAGCAATCAGTTGTGTTTAATTAATTTTTGCAAAGTAAAAATTAAAAAATGATCAGTATAATATAATAATTTGCACAGTAAAAATAATAAATATCAAGGAATGCACGCATAGTATTTTATTGCAATTTGTTCAGTAAAAAAATTCAAATTGCACAGTAAAAATAATACACGTTCAGTAACTTTAATCAAAATTAATAAAATAACATAAAATTTAAGAAATTTTCAGTCTTGTTTGGATAACAAAAATGTTATTTATTATTGGAACTTATTTTTGTATTACTAAATATTCATTATAATTTGAGGGTGGTATATGTAGTAGCAAGGGTCCCTGCGCAAGAATGATTTTAGCAAGAGCTGGAAATTGCGCAAATGGTAATCAGTCTGAACGCTGTGCGACACTCCGGTTTTGCTCGGAAACATTTTGTTTGAAAATTAAATATGTGAGTATTATATGAATTAGTTTTACTTTACTGGACATTCATTCATTGTCTTTACTGTGCATTTATTATTTTTACTGTGCGTTTATTATTTTTACTATGCATTTATTAGTTTACTGTGCACTTATTATTGTTACTGATCAAGAATACTTGACGTTTAAGTAATAATTATACTGTGCATTTAATTTGTTCCCAATACAAATCTTTACACTCGGGGAAGTAAATAACAAAAAAAGTATGATTTTGTAGCACTTTACATGTGCAATTCTGTTACGCTTGCTAAAAATAGAAGTTAAAAAAATCGTATTCGATTGCATAGTTTTTTTTTTATTTTAAATTGTGTATTTTTGTTCCTAGAAATATTTTTTTCACTTTTACAATTTATTAGGATTAAATCGAATTTATGACACCCCTTGATGATTAATAGACCAATCCTACCATATTTTGTCTATGATTATACAAAATCCAATCCGTCAGAATTTCACTTGCGTATTCCACAAATCCGCTTGATTTATTACCTTGAGTTTGTCATTCGTGTTTGTTCTGTAATTCAGCATTGTAATAAAATTTGCAATTTCACAAAATTATTGTAGTCATTGTGATAATTGCCATTTCGTTGTTATTATGATAATTGATAAAATAATTAATCTCAAATAAATAAATCTTGGTAGTTTAAGTTGAGTTTGAAAGATTTTTCGCATAAATGACGTGACCCTGATGGTAATGACACTAACGTAAGTTTAATGACGAGAAAAATTGTCTGGTCTAAAAGTGAAGAGCGGAGATTCGAGCTGTAAAACTTAAATTGCGAAAAACTTAAAAGTTTTATGTTGATGGCACTACTTCTCTTATCTAAAATAGCTCACTAATTTTTTCCTAATTAAAACTTTGTGCTAAGTTTGTTAACGAAATTAAAACTGTTATCTCTGATATTAAGCTGAAAAGGAATTGTTTATTGGCGTACGCGATTTTTCCGCATGAGTCACGGGAAACAGATACGTAATTTAATGACAATTGAACTGAAACGCTAATAAAAGAAACTTACTGTCATGACTAATGACGTTATAGAAATGTTTTGAACGAACGTGGGTGGAAATCGATTCATTATGTCATCGTTGAAACACTCAAACCGTCTCGATATGAATTAATTTCACAGCAAGCATCGCGTAATGAAATATTTCCGCGTCTCTCTGTAATAACAATCCGAAAGCTCGTCAAAATTACCAAAGCTCATGCACACAAAGTTCACTAACCGCTCAATTTATTTATAAATAAACCACTCGACGGTTTCCAGGAGTGACCACACGCATACGCTCTTTAATTACATTATTAAATAAATCCGTTGAGAAATATTTGTGGAAGTTGGCATTGTGCCAGGCGCTAATAGACCCGTCGTCTTTTCCTCCAACACTGGTGCTTTTTTATGTTAATCTGGGTCGGGAGGTAACAAAAGCTAATGAAGGATCGTCGTCTCCGGTCTCCTCCGGATTTAATTCAGCGCGCCCTAGAAGGCTTTTTACGACGGTCAGCAGAAACGTGCAAAGAATGAGAAGATGGATCTTTTAATTCGTCGCAGGGATTTATCTCGAAATGCGGAAAATAATCGTGTTTTGTTCAACATGTGTGTGTGTTAAATGGAGTGATGAGACGGACATTCCGAGCCGACTCATCCAATTTGAATTTTTACTGAAACCAGACATGTGCAGCAATGCGGAAGGCGAACAACTAGGAGAATAAAGTGCTTAATGTAATTTGTGGTGGGATAGTGGGAGACATATTGCTTTAATTTCTACAAGGTTGGAAAGTTAGACGAAACTTGATATGCGAGGAATTATTCGAAATAAAATGAAAGGAAACAGCGAGTCTTGTTTGAGTGAATTTGCACATCTGCGAGGCATAATATTAATTGCAAGAAATAGTGAAACAATTAAGTAATACAGTAAACGCAATTTCTGTATTTTTTACGTTTTATAAACGTGAAAAATTGTTTTTTTTTTGCTCAGAGTTATACAGGGTCTACCATTTTTATTGTTACAAATTTAAACAAGTGATAGAATATTCAATTTTAGGATAAAAGTTTCCTATGAACATGTATTGAAAAATACTATGAAAGGGGTTCATGTTTTAATAGATTTTGTCCAATATTTCAGAAACCATTTTAGATAAAATTACAAAATTTGGTACAGTTGATTTATGTCAAAATTTGTTTAGAATAAAAAATAATATAAATATTTTGGCTGAAGTTTCTTGTCACTTTCAACAACAAAATTCTAAATTCCATAGTTTTTACAAAAAAGAGGTCTCTTGCGTTTTTTCGATACAACTTACACTTGTTGAGTAAAATCCTTTTAATATTTATTTTGTTGTTTTTTACCAAAAAAAAAATGCTCAAATTTGGTCGATAATCATACTATTTTTGCTTTTTTTTTAATGTTTTAACATATATTTTTAAGATAAAAACTCAAATTTTGAATAGGACTTCATCGAGACAATACAAAAAAAAAACACGAAGTTAAATCGAAAATTATGTTATTTTTCACTTTCTCAAGCGTTTAAGAAAGTTCTTTGGCCAGAAATGAAATTTTTTTGCAAAATTTTGTCCAAGCCACTCGAAAAATTCATAAAAATTGTGCTATTTTTGTTTTTTTTTTTTAAGAAGTTAAATACATTTTTGAGCTAATAAACTGCGTTTTTTCAGATAAACAGACCAAATTAGATTGAAATTGATAATATTTTTGCCGTTTCAATTATTTCTGAACCTTCTTAGTATAAAATTTTGCTCAAAAAGGTTCAAAAATTACCAAATTAGACATTTTCGAGAGCATGTTTTTCAGCTAAAAACTTTTTTTGCAAAAATTCGTTAAAATAGGCCACAAAATCACTAAACCAGATTCAAATTACCGTTCTATTTTGGTCTGTTTCACTGGATTTAGTTTGGAGACCTAAAAATCTAGTTTTTTTCAAAAAAATTTATTTACAAGCAAAAAACCACAAAGTGCACCTTTTAAAGCGGTTAACATGTTTTTTAAATGCTGTTTTTTTTAAATTTTCCAAAATTTTGGCAAACAATGACCAAATTTGGTCGAAATTAACATTATTTTTGACTTTTTCAGTTAAAAATGCACTTTTCCTTGCTCAAGCAAGTCGAGAAATCTCCTAATTAGATACAAAATGGTGTTTTTTGCCTATTTTTGAGTAAAAGTTTTAATTGTTTTTGATGAAAACTAGCCCAAAAATTAATTAGACAAAAAATTATATTATTTCCATCTATTATCAAGCGAATAAAAACGTTTTCTGACCAAAACTGTTTTTTTTCACAAAATTTTGCTGGGCGTTGAAAAGGAAATTATTTTTGCCTTTTTCAAGTAAAATTTCACCTATATGGCTCAAAAAATTAGTAAAATACTGTGTAGCTCCTTTACAAAATATTTTTTGATACATGTTTATGTCTTAAAATTGAATATTCGTTTATCTGTTCAAATTTGTAACAATAAAAACGGAACACTCTGTATTTTAGTTCATTTATGCGACACACAAGGGTGTAAAAGTTTTTTTTCTCTTTTACGTTATAGTTATAATGAAAATTGTGGAAAAGAAACAATAATTGAGACTTTGTGTTATTTGCTGAAATTTTGGCAAAAGGCACTTTTTACGCACGAGTGCAGAAACGTCACTTTTCCGCTCTGAGACGCATTTGTAAACTGTGTCTCGTC